GAATGATTTCTTCTCCAATTTCTCCCAAAATCGAAGGAACCCTCAGATTTTGACAACAACCCTCTTCTCCTCTTCTCCAATGAACCCTAAACCCAATTTCCCCTTTGTTACAAACTGAGAAACCCTTATTCGAACAGCTTCAAGGTTAAAACGAAGTGGGGCCCACTATTCGTAACGGACCGTCAGGAAATTTGACGGATGGGGTAAATTGAGACGGTTATTTATACGTTGGGGGGTACTTTGAGACGTTTTCCACCACAGGTGGTAATCTGAGAAAAACGTAAAAGCACAGGGGGCATGTGCATAATTAAGCCATTAATTTATACTAATAGACCTCAATAAAAAAAAATATTGAAATGACTCATGTGCTTTCAATTTTGTCTCAGTTTGCCCCTGAACTTTAAGATGATTGTATACCTCCTGAGCTTTATTTCCGTGAGTCGTGTTACCCCACTCTGTCTATTTTGTGGAAAGAATCATTAAGTTGGGTGATGTGGTATGGGTAATTTTAACTTTAACTTTCCATTTGATTTTCATCCTCTTAACATTTCTCTAGCTGCTTCCAATTTCCGGCGCATCTTGCGAGGCAAATTTTTCTGTTCCAGACATATGAAGTTACAAGCAGAATAAACAAAAAAACTATCAATCAAACATAGATATGAAAAATCCTAGACTTTGATGAGTGATTATAGTCACCTCACGCTCCTGCTTCCTCTTTACTTTCATTTTTAAGTCTTCGGCTTGTTGAGCACTGATTACCTCATTTCCAGAATGATTTTCTCTTCCAAGGGATGCCTGTCAATGAAAAACTCTGATGTCATGGTGTACTTTGTTACTTCACATTTAAGAAAAATACTTGCAGTAGGAAAAAAAAAAAAGTTGTCATCTTAGTGAAAATTAACGCTATGTTGAAGATCAAAGATTGCACTTAATAGCATTCTTACTCCTATCAGCAAAAAACGACATTTTAAGTGCCCATATCAAGGATATTTTCAATATGTTTGCATTTTTTTTTTCTTATGTCAATTTTGTAGCCAGTTAACTAAACAAAATTTGTATATGAAGAAATCATGTTGACAAAACAAACATCATTGAAACAAGAAATTACCTTAGCTGCATTCACTACCATCTTCTTTTGCTTTTCTGTCTGAAACCAGGTCTTCTTGCGGCGTGAATAAATTTCATCTTTGTGTGCAATCATATTCTCTGCCTGTATAAAGGCCACAAACATAAAATCAGAGAAATGATAACAGATAACATCAACTTACCTAGCAACAATTACAGAGGAAGGATAAACCATCTGATTGTAGATTGTACGCAAAATGACAACAATTAGGCAGGAAAGGGAAGAGAGGTGTGAAATACCTTCGTTGCTTCCATTTCAGCTTTTCTCAATGCTTGTTCTTCCCTGCATATGTTGACAATCTTTAATAGTTTCACAAAGGACAATTAAATAAGTAAACCTATGTGAAGCACAATACTAAAACCTTTCTTCTAGCAGAATTGCAGCCACTTGATCTTCCATTTGCTCAATTATCTGGGACCACTTAATAATTGATTGTTCGGCAACAATTCGACTCTTCAGTTTTGAACCAGCTCTTTTTGCCTATTAAATTGAATACCCCATGTAACAGGTAGGTTAAAATCATAATTTTACTAAAATCACAACATCAATTTTGTACCCTACAATAGATATGTAAACGTAAATGCTGGATCTCAAGAGCATTAATTAGAAAATTTTGAGTATGAACCCGTTTTCTTTTACGGCCTTAGAACAATGTAAGGAAGAAGAAGATGCTCACAATGGTTTTTAAAAGAGACCGGTCATTATCTGTCACAAAAGTAACAGCATATCCTTCTCTACCAGCCCTTGCTGTACGACCCACTCGATGAACATAGCTGCACCAAGAAATAAACATAGTTGAAGTCAAAAGAAAGCACAAATGAGATTAAAGAGGAATAACACACACACCAAAAGTGCATTAAGAAAATGCGAAATGCAAGCAAGCAGTAGCTTATGACAGTATGCTAATGGTAGGACTATGATGAACCTATTGTAACAACGAGAGATCCAGTCATTACCTTGTAAGATGAGTAGGACATTCATAGTTGATAACTGTCTGAACACCAGCAATGTCAATGCCCTACAGAAGTTAGCGATTTATTAGTTTCTATAAAGCAGCAAACTTTTTATATTTCATGCAGAGTCCAGATGAAGGAGGAGGAAGAGACCACAATCCAACAACGTCACCTGTCTCCTTGCCCATCAAATACACAGGCAAAAAAATAAAATAACATATGGAGGCTAACAAGGGTACTCAAAGAGCAGAGGTGGATTATAATAATAGATTATTACGGGCACCAGTTTTCTTGAAATTCTGGCTGGAAATCCATATGAAGCTTATTAATATATAAATGTGTAGTTTTCTATGTGCAACAGAGGCGGTATGATAATGACCATTAAGTACTGGTACAACGCCCAACATCGGCCAAAGTCAGAGGGAGTAAGATTAAATACAAAGGCATGAGTGACTAAGATGCTCACACATCTAGCAGCACTAATGCATACCAAAAAAGAAATATGAACAAGTTCTTACCCGGGAAACCAATTCAGTTGCAATCAAAAAATCAACTTTCTGCTTCCTGAAAAGTTCCAACGCCTACACAAACCATAAAAAGTAGGATTGTCACAGATTAAAATTAAAGAAGGTAGTAAGATATGAGCAACAGACCATCACATATATCCAACAGGTTTCGATTATATATGTGTGCGTATGTATATATAGGACAATACAACAAACTGATTATACAAAGAACTCGGGCAAACAAACAGTATATCAAGGCACTCAAGTACTCACGTGTAGGCGCTGGTCTTGAGAAAGATTTCCATGAAGCTCAGCTGCTTTAAAGCCAGCTAACCCAAATAAAATCTTCAACCTATGTGCAGCCAGTTTTGTGCCACTGACAGAAGATGAAATAAGATTATACAAAACTGATGAAAGATATCAAGTCATCAACCAAAATAAGGAACTAAACTCAATTATTAATTTTGTTTATACCAAAATGAACAGCCAATAAACATTTGACACGTGGACCAAGCTGGAGCTGTGGGAGCCTTCGGCATCTAGCTTCGGCATCTTACCTACCGATCGCTCTATTAGGGCAACCTTGGCATTCGGAACACGTGGCAGCCTCACAATCAATGTCCACAGTCCCACATCGAAACTCTAAGCAAAATGCACACCTCCCAAGGCCTATAAAAGAGGGCAACCATCTCAGCTTGGAGGTAATGAATCAAGAAGTGTCCCTCATATCCCTGCCGAACCACTTTCACCGATCGTAAGCCCATGGCCATTCGCCCAATGGGGATTAGATTTAATTGGCCCGATGCCGGAAGGCAAAGGTCAGGTCAAATATGCTGTCGTTGCCGTGGACTACTTCACCAAATGGGTAGAAGCCAAAGCCTTAGCAACGATAACGGCAGCCAAAATCGAGGATTTCGTCTGGACAACGACAGGCAGTTCGATTCGGAATCCCCTATGCCATCGTTACGGACAACGACAGGCAGTTCGATTCGGAAGTCTTCAGGGAGTTTTGCGTCCGACTCAAGATCAACCTATTCTTTGCCTCGCCAGCTCACCCCCAATCGAACGGCCAGGTCGAGGCAATGAATAAAATTGTTAAGAAGCTATTGAAACGGCAGCTCGATAAAGCCAAAGGAGCCTGTCCGGAAAAACTCCCAGAGGCGCTATGGGCCATCCAGACATCCTACCGAACGGCAACTGGTGAAACACCGTTCTCCATGGCCTTCGGCTCGGAAGCGGTAGTCCCAGTGGAAATCGGAGAGCCTTCCTATCGAACGGAAGCTTTCACACCGGAGGCGAACGAGGAGGCGCTCGCCTTAAGCCTCGACCTGCTCGAAGAACGCCGAGCACAAGCCAACCTTCGGAACGAGGCTTACAAACAACGCGTCTCTCGGTACTATGACTCCAGGGTCAGATCCCGCTCTTACAGAGTCGGAGACTGGGTCATGCGAAAAGTCTCGCTGACAACCAAGAATCCTACGGAAGGAACCCTCGGACCATCCTGGGAGGGACCATACGAAATAATCGGTATCCAGCGATCGGGAACTTATCGACTCAGGGACTCCAACGGAAAGACCCTCGGTCACCCTTGGAATGTGGAACATTTGAAATATTATTTTAAATGAAGTCACCTAGCCTACGGTAGGATTGCAATGGAGCCTCAAAAGCCCTCAGCTTCTCTGTATTTATGGCCTTCGGCAGTATAGCGTTCCCTAGCCTACGGCGGGTTTTTGAATTGTAAAACGCACTCCATATTGTATCTTTGCCTTCGGCAGTTTATCAATGAAAAGGGCCTTCGGCCAATATTTTCGGAACCTTTGTTGTACCCTTTTTAGCTCTTTTCATTTTTAAAAGGATACGGTAGAGACCCTTGGTCGCATTAAAGCTACACAACTTGACACTAGCCTACCGACTAAAGGACAACTTTAGCTTTGGGAATCAAGTTTGGGCTTTGATTAGCCTTCGGCATTCTTAGCCGTCGCTTAGCCTTCGGCAAGTACGACCATTGTTCTCCAACTTCTATCTAGCCCTCGGCATTTTTGAAGGGATTTTCCTAAGTGTTCTACCGATTGCAAGTCAACTTGAATTGGGCCCTCAAAATTTGAAAATAAAATAAAATAAAAACAATGATGAAACTTTTTGATTAAGAAGATGCCCACGGCATCAAGAGTACATCAAGGTTACATTAAGAAGATGCCCACGTCATCAAGAATACATGAAAATTACATTAACAGTGCCCTCGGCGTTAAATTACATAAGAAAGAAGCGGGACTGGAGAAGAAGCCTCTGGAGAAGATCGTCGCTCTGCCGTTCGAGATAGGACTATACCTTTGAGTATCATTGCAGAGCGTACGAAACTTTCTGTCAAGCGGCGGCTGGAGAAGAAGCTTATTGAGAAGATCGTCGCTTTGCCGTTCGAGATAGGACTATACCTTTGAGTATCATTGCAGAGCGTACGAAACTTTCTGTCAGGCGGCGGCTTCATCGGCTTCGGCGGCATCCACATCGCCTTCGGCAGTACCCCTTTCGGGATCGGCTGAGACCTCCTCTGTGGCGTCCTCCCCCTCGTACTCCTCAATCATTTCTTCGGTTATGCCTTCAGGAAGGGGGGGAGGATCGGCAATGAAGTTGAGGTTGAGCTTCTTCCCGGGGTTGTACCGTTTGAAGCGGTAGACCGAGTCCACCATCTCCCGGCCTACTTCCGAGTCAAGCAAAGTAGAGAACTCGGTTGACCGACGGTACCGCTCAATTGCCTCCTGGACGGCAGCCTCGATCTCGGAAGCCCTGACCCGCTCGGACTCCTCAAAGGCCATCTGGATCGCCTCTTTCAATTCTCGAGCCTCCCTTGCCGATAGCTGCGCCGACTCCAACGCTGCCGACATCTCACCGAGCTTGGCTTGATAAACTTTAACCTGCCGTTCGGTAGCCTGCATGTCCTTCGCCAACTTTGCCTGGGCTTGGATCGCTTTGCAAGCTTCGGCAACCTTCGCTCTGCCGTCTTCGTACGCCTTCTTCATTTTTTCGGTGGCATTAATGGCTCGCTTGACACACAGTCACATATCCATTGAGGCCTAAACAGCAAAGGAAAACGTTAGATAAAAAAGAAAACATACGGCAAGAAATTGCTAAAAACGGTAGGCACTTACCGAAGCTTGAAGGCGGAAGGCGCGGCCAGCCTCCTCCCGAAGAAGCTTCTTCGGGGTCCTCGATCTCTGATAGCTCCATTTGTGAACCGAGGATCATGTGGTTCACAAACTGGACTGTCTTCGAAGGACAGGCAAGGGTGACAGCTTCGGAAGGCGCCTCCTCGTCCTCAGCAGAGAAGATGGCCCGAACGGGCTCGGCTTGTCGCCCGCGTTTCGAAGCGGGGTCGGCATCAAGGTCTACCGTGAACGGCCTCTTGCCGGCAGCTTTAGTGGAGGTGCCCTCGGCAGGCGTACCTCAGCTGGGAGATGGACCAGCAGCGGCCACTTCAGCACGCGCCGATTCGGCGTTCATCTAACGACGGCGCTCGTTAAGAGTTAGGTCGTCAGGGTCCACCCCTTCCGAAGGCAGAGGTGCCGTTCCGGCTGGCCGCCCCTTCTTCTTCCCTTGCATGCCTAGCATGAGGCGCCTCTTTGAGGACTCGTTCATCCTCTTTGCCTCGGCAGTTTTCCTCTCTTCGGTCACTGCAAGACGGAACTGGTCAGATTTCTCATTTACACCATAAACTGTTGAAATGGTCAAGTATGCTTACTCTCGGCAGGGCTGACGAGCTGGGCTTTGATGAGGTTGGCGATGAAGAGAAACTTCGGATAAACCCTCTCCATGGCAGGGACCTTCAGCCTCACCCTCTCGATCTGCCGGATCTCCGATTGAGTAGCGCTCGGCTGCTTCAGTTTACCTGTACAAAAGAAACGGAATTAATATAACCAAAGGATAACACAATCAAGGAGTCCTACCGAACGGTAGGATGGCCTACCGACGATTTGGAACGTGGTGGGAATGTGGAAACGGACAGGGTGTCCCGAGGGAGACTCCCAGTCACCGGACAACAGCACCCGCCGTTTCCTCCCCGTTTTCTGGG